ACACAGGTTCACACACTCAGGAATCTTGTAAAAACACAGACGCAGAGGGAGCAGGAGATGAATATGGAGTGTAAATAAGGAATATGGGTTAATTTAAAATGTATGAGTTAGCTAGTAACAAGCCTGAGCTATCGACTGAGCATTTATAATTTATATTAAGTCTCTATGTGTCTATTTGGGAACTGATGGTGGGCCTACAGGCAGTTTTAAAAGTTCAGGTCCTATATTAACATCTTTGTTCTGTTTGTGTGTGTGTGTGTGTGTGTGTGTGTGTGTGTGTGTGTGTGTGTGGTGGGATATAGAGATCTAGTTTCATCCTCCTATATGTGAAAATCTAGTTTTCCCAGGACCATGTTGGGGGAAAAGGGCTTTGTCAGAGCTAGGGAGATGGCTCATTTGGTAAAATGTTTGCTGTGCAAGCATGAGGACCAGTGTTTGAATCTCCAACATTAACATTCAAAAACTAAAAGTATAGAAAGCTGAGAGCAGTGGTTCACAACTGTGATCCCAGCACTGAGGTGCAGAGAAAAGTGTAACCCTGGAGTCCACTGGCCTGAAGCACAGCACATCTGAACCGGTAAGCTCTGAGTTCAGTGATACAGCTAGTTCTCAAAACGTAAGCTGGAGAACAATCAAGGAAGATACCTGATGCCAACCTTTGCTATCTACAAACACATGCAAATGAATACATGCCTAACCACACGCACGTGTCTATGTTAACACATACACCACAGCGTACACACATGTACACACACACACATACACGCATTTGTATGTGTACATGGCTTTGTAGAAAATTAGAGGACTCAAGACAGGTGAGATGGATCAATAGTTAAGAGCACTGGCTTCTCTTCGAGAACATTTGAGTTCATTTCCTAGCACACACATGATGGCTCATAACTGTCTAGTTCCAGTCCTAGGGGGATCCAATGACCTCTTCTGGACTCTGTGGGTGCTGCATGCACATGGCACATAGACATACATGTTGGCAAAACACGCATACACATAGGAAGTGAATCCACTTTATCCTGGGCTGTGGTTTTTGTTGTTGTTTTTTTTTTCATTTACATGTTGATACACTGATTACACTATTACTGTCAAGAATGTGTGTGCATGTGTTTGGAATTTGAACCCAGGGCCTTTGCTATACTAGGCGTGTGCTCACCTCTGAGTTATACCCTCAAGTGTCAAGAAAGGTTTATCAGTCATTTATCCTACACTATGGACTTGAAGCATTGGAGTAAGATGTCAAGTGCAACCCTTTTTCTTTATGATCCTCTGAGGTACATCCTGTCCAGTAGAACTCAAGCTCAGAAACCAGTGCTGAGTTTCTCAACTACTATGTCAATACATTTGGCTTTAGTTGATAGTTCACCATATCCTTTCATTAGTTTTATCATGGCATCTATGGGTCTCTACTGAGCACATTTGAAGCAATGTCGTAAGACATCTACGGAGGAGTGTGCCCATGCCTGTTCTCTAGTTGAATTAATGACCACTAAGTAGCTAAAGAAAAAGTAGCCTGGGAGCTAAGTTGTCTCAGTTGGTATGAGAACCTAAGCTTGGATCCCTAACACCCCCATATAAAATCTGAGTGAGATAGTACCTGTCTGTAACTCTAGCACTAAGGGGGGCAGAAACAGAAAGATCCATTGGGTCTGCCTGAATTGATGAGTTCCAGATTCGAGGATATTGTAAAAGAAAAAGAAAAAGAAAAGTAATAGAAGAGAAAAGAGAAAGAAGATGGAGAGTAATCAAGGAAGACATCTAACATCAGCCTTGGGTTTCCACTTGCACGCACGCGCACACACACACACACACACAATTATGTGAACACGTATTCACACCCATTCAAATACATACACCCCCAACCATGCACACAAAAGAAAAGCAGCCTGGCAGCCAGCTAGAAATTTGGAAAACTGAGAGGTTCATTGTTAAGTCAGAAACATAGTCTCTGCTTTGGGATGAGTTAAATGGAGGTTATAACAGGTTAATGGCTTTCGAGTCCTGTTTGCAGGTGTCTAAAGGGCACTTGTTCTATAATTCTGGGCATATAATGCTAAATTGTTAAATATGCTATGGTTGCATGGCCACTTTCTGGTCCATTTTGATATTTTTATACCACGTGATAATCGGGAGTGGATTCTAAATCATTAACACTGGGTGAACTGTAGCATGTCGTATGCCAAGAGCTATGCAGGTTTTAACTCATTGTGACCTCAGAGTTTTATTTTTGCTGGTTCCTTAATAGCAAGTTAATGATAAACAGGTGCTTCTATATTCCCAGCTTCCTCCCTACGCCCACTCACAGCACAGCATCATCTCCTATGCTCCATTGTCCATTGTTTCTTCTTGGTATATACTAGTTTGGGTCAAATATTGGAACCAAAATTTAATGGGGATTTTAAACATCCTGCTGACAGGTGACCTTCTTGCTCTAGAAGGACATGCCACTGATGTTGCAGCAGGAGAATAGCAGGCAGTTGCACAACTCAATTTGCCTCGTCATTACTGTGTCTGCCTACCGTGGCCTCCTCCCCATTTCTCTTCCATCTCACTCTGTCTTTATTTGCTCAGATTTTCTTTTCTTTGTAAACAATTCATTAAGTCTTCTTGTGTGGTTTAAAGGATTTTTTATCACTAAGAGATTTCTCTAGGATGTGCCTTCCTCCATATATTTTCATTGACTTATCTGACAGGTCAGGTCACATCCAAAAGGAAGACCTGAACGCCTGGGTCACATTGTCAAAGTTTTCTCCTGTTATTCTTTTTTAATTGATTTTTAAATTTTTATTTTGTGCAAGCCCATGGGAGGCATGTCACTTTCTTTTGTTCTTTTATTACTTCACAGCCCCCCCTTTCTTCTGGACTAGCAACTTCTTGCATACTAGGACCCTTGGACTAGTCTTCCTTTGCACCTATGAGTTCTGTCTTTAAGATTTTACTCTTGGGCTGGGGAAATGGCTCAGTTGGAGAGAGAACTTGCTATATAAGCAAGAGGACAGGGACTCAAATCCTCTGTACCCTTAAATATTAGTCAGGCATGGCTGTGCATGTCACTACTGGTGGCAGAGACACAAGGATCCCCAAAGCATGCTAGCTAACCAGCTTGGCCAACATACTGAACTTCAGGCCCAGTGAGAGACCCTGACTTGAAAACTAATGAGGAAATCAATAGAGGAAGACCCCTGACATCCTTCTCCTACCTCTTCATTCATGTACATAGTTACACATGCAACACACACATGAGAGAGACTTACTTTTTAAGTCATCCCATCTTTAAAATATGGATTCAATCTTCTTAATTAACATATTTTCCTAATTTTTATGTTCCACTAATAAATTTTTAAAGTAATAAGTCAATTTTAGTTCCAGGAAACTCTCTGAGCTCCTGTGATTATATTCCCTAAGAGCTTCAATCCTGTTTTCCACATAACCTCTATATCAATAATAGAGGCTCTTTTAACTGTCTACTTTCATTTTTTCCATTCTAACTGTGCTACAACATTCCCACCAGTCTTCCTCTGTTTATTCATATAGATAGTGTATTTCAGCACCTCTGTAGATCTCTCTGGTCCTTGGCATATCCAAGTAGAGATGGATGTTCTCAACCCAACTTGGAAATTATCCTTCCTTCTGTAAGAGAACCCAGCACTGCTAGCTTCTGTCACTGCTGTGAATGTGACAGTGGAGACATCCCTCCCTTACTTTCCAGCTGTGTACCCTCCCAAGTCAGCTGCTCTCACTGGGTACTCCCACCATAATCCCCCCTCCCTCACCAGCACACAGAAACTGAAATGTCACACTCATGTTTCCTACTTGGATTTTCAAATTGAAAGCCTTCTGCCAGTGATGTGGTGAGAGAGAGAGAGAGAGAGAGAGAGAGAGAGAGAGAGAGAGAGAGACAGAGAGACAGAGAGAGAGAGAGAGAGAGAGAGAGAGAGAGAGAGAGAGAGAGACTAGCCTTTTCATGACTAGCCACTAGCTAGTGGCTGTCTGCTAAGGCCGCTTGTTGCACTATGCCAAGGATGAGAGAGATCTAACAAGGTGCTAAAATTCAATACACTGTATATGAACAGAGGAGGACTGATGGTAATGCTGCAAGCTCCTATGTCATGATGCTTGGTCCTCAGTTAGTGGAACTGTTTGGGAAGGATTAAAAGGTGTGGCCTTATTGGAGGGAGGTATGGCCTTGTTTTAATAAATATGTCACTAGGGAAGGGCTTTGAGGTTTCAGAAGCCCAGTAGGCCCAGTCTCTCTCTGCCTGCTGCCTGCAGATCATGGTAGAAGCTCCCGGAACTATGCGTGCCTACCTGCCGTCACACTTCCCACCATGATTGTCATGGAACTCACCCTCTGAGAGTGTAATCAATTCCACATGTGAATAAAATGAGGCTTCTGTCTTTCAAGAACAAGGAATCTTGAGCTGGGGACACAATCTTGTTGGTAGAGTCTTGCCTATCATACGCAAAGCCCTAAGTTTTGGTCCCCAGCATCATATAAACTGGACATGGAGGTGCCTTCAGGAGGCAGAGGCAGGAATGTCAGAAGTTTAGGTTGTCCTCAGCCACCCTGGCCTAGATGAGATCTGGTCTTGTAAACAAAAAAAAACATAACAATCTAAAGCCAAAGTTCTCAACCTGTGGGTCAAGACCCCTTTGGAAAACCTCTTGTCTCCAAAGATTGTTTACATTACATTTCATAACAGTAGTAAACTTACAGTTTTGAGGTATCAACAAAAACAACTTTATGGTTTGGGAGTCATCACCACATGAGTAACTGTATTAAAGGGTTACAGCATTAGGAAGGTTGAGAACCACTGATCTAAAGGAAAAGCATACACGTTAGCAATTAAATATAACAAAGTGCTACTGTTTTGTAATGCACAAAGTACTCAGGAGCCACGCATGTCAAAGGGTTAATTTTCTGGTAGCATCATAAACTTTCTCTCCTTGGTCAGTAGAGTCACATGAAGAAAGAAATACTACTTTGGAGCTGTTTTTATCAGAAAGTTTATTGTATTCATCATAAAGCTACTTGGCAGTATAAATGACAATGAAACTAATGCTGAGGAGGGTTTGTCATCTTTGGAAAAGAGAGATAGTTTAACACTCAAACAGTTAAATTTTGTTTGCTAATATCAAGTAAACCATACTGCAGTTTGAATTTCTCCTTTTTTAAAAAAATATAGAGAGATACATTGCAATTTGGTCATGTCAAAACAAAGCTGAGACAAGTAATGAGCAGGACTCTGTGGGCAGCTCGCTGTGTGTCATCCCATGCTTCATAAACAACCACTGCACGGCAAGCCTCTGGACATGTCCATGGCATTAAGACTTCAAAATCAACATAGCCCTTAAGTGTTTCACTGGAATGATAGGACATGTTACCCAGAGATGGAAACCATAGCCCCAAAATTAGTTTTTATGATTTTTTTTCTTATTTAAACTGTAGACTTCTAATATCTATGTGAATTATCTATGGTATTATGTGATGCTTTTGCTTGACTTCAGCTTACATTTGGTTGCAAAGTTCCCTAAGACTGACCACTGTTATGGCCCATTGAGGTTCAAATGATCATATTTCCATAAAGTAGCCTGCATTTCTCACGGTCAGCAGTTATTATGCTAATAGATTTGTCTGTGACACCCTATGCTTCTCTGCTATAAGCTTCTAAGGTCAGTTTTTCTGTACTTGATCAATACCCAACAAACAATGCTAAATACATTTCATTCTGTCTGCTACTAGTACTCTACCAGGAAGGATTTGTGTCTAACACTGAATAATTACAAAAATTTCCTTATCATAGAGTTAACCACAAATATTATATTCTCCCAATGAAAGCAAGAATATGAGTTATCATTTGGGCAAGTTTGGATTTAATGCTGTACAAATACAGTGAGTGATAATATTAGAAGAGAAAAATGGCAAGTGCTCCAATCTTCTTCATTTGACTCCCGTGACTGTTAACCCATGTATCTGTTTGATGTTTGCTCCCTAGGGATCAACCAGTGCTTAACTACTGAGAAAAAAATCAATTGTTTCTGAATCCTGTTTCAGATAATTTCCCTAAACACATTTGAAAAATTATTCACCTGACCAAATTAATTCGTCAGGATGGGCACAGGTGTAAAATGGAAACTGAGTATATATTCCACCACAAAGGCTCAGTAGGACAATAGTTTATGGCTACCGCAGTAGATAATTATAAATGGACTCTAGCAGATTATCGTGGAGGATTTCATGTCTTTAAAACATCAATGACTGCTGCCTTCTGTTGTGATGTTACGTTCCCTCACAGTTTTTCCTCTCCTCTGCATGCTCTAGTATAGCAATGCCTTCTTGTGTCACATTGGCATTCTCATGAGGTAAGAGCCATGGGTAAATATGCGTCTGTTATAGCATGCACTGGGCAAGCCTCTGTTCTAATCCTCTGGGAATGGTCCACATTTAAACCCAATGCAGAATGATTATTAGCACCGCCCTGATTTACCATTAAAAGTATCCCCGTTTAGATGGTCAGTTATCAATAACCATGATGGAAGTCTTTAGTAAATCACCTGTAGTACCCACTGCTCCTCCTTCCTGAGTTTAACCAAGACTCGGGGAACTAACATGGAAAGAAGAGCTCCATTGTGGACTCTAGAAAGTTCCATTCCAGTGATCAGCTATGCACCTATCGATACTATAATATTTTCATAATAGCCACCTTAACAGGTTCAAATTGTATATTTTCATTTCCTCCCTCCCAAAGAAAAACAATACATTTTTATCAAGCAAAAATGAATGGCAATGATGCAGCAAACAATTGACATAGCATATTCTTGCATTAACAATCCAAACACTACAAAACATAGAATATACAACTTAATGAACATACCAACTAAAAGGGATGGGTACATGTCACATAAGCAATGCAAAAGGCCAGCTTAAGCATAGTTTCTCTAAATCAACAATTAATAAGGAAAGTGCCCTTTTCCCAAATATGCACAAAAATATTTCAGTCACTTCTAGGGAAAAATTAAGGGGAACGTTCCTCTAAGTCTATATTACGGCATGTATTACTAAAGGTTTATCATAACCAAGCATCTTCCACTTAAATGTACACTCTTTGCCACTCATCACACACTCACTCAATAAAAAATAAGGTGATTGCATCTCTGTATTTATGAATAACTGATAAGTTATGAATCTGAAGTGGTAAATATGCATGATAGAGACAGTGATGATTAGAATGACGTCGTGAATCTAACATGGGCCAAAGGTCAAACAGAAATGCCATATTTATGTGTTGAATTGATTTCTGCAATACTTACACTGTATCTAAAATAATTTTAATTGTACATTTCCCATTCTAAAAACGAAGTTTTGTATTTAGATTTGCTCCCATCGCTAGGGTTTATTCGAAGTTTATGCAATTCTATCACCCGACAGACTGCTTCCTCCCATGACCATACAACCCTTACGATCCTGAGTCCAAATGGAAAGACATTATGCAAGAAGGACTCAGGGAATATATTCCTTGTCTCCTACATGTTTAGTAATTTCCATTCTCATTAAGTAAATGTGTGGTAACCTGAACAATCCTAGTTAGAGGTGTCTCTGTGATGTTAGCAAATAGATTTTAATTTTCCAGGGGCTAACTACAGTGTCCCCTCAAGCCTGTGTCTCTCTCTGAAAGGTTCTACCAAGTTCACCCCATCAGCCAACATCTTAAAACAAGTCACTGGTTTTGCAGTTCCTAATAGAAATGAGAAATCATGAAGCTCCTTTCTTCCAAACCATCTGTTTATAACACACCACGATGGGTGTCAGCTTCAGCTTGGAGCTTTCTGGTATGTGTTCAACAACTGCTTCTTGTATTAGTTAACTTCATCTGCAGCATCAACTGGAAGATGGAGACCTGAACAGCGGGCATGGAAAGAGTTCCAGAGCTCACACAGTGGACCTTTGATGTCATTCACTGCTGCTGCTGCTGCTGTTGCTGCTGCTGCTGTTGCTGTTGCTGCTGCTGCTGCTGCCACCACCGCCATCTTCTCTCTGGGGAGAGGATGAACTGTCCCTTACTGGCAGCAAGTCATAATGGCAAGGGATGTGACTGTTCTTTGGAAGGTCATATGGATCTTGGGAGAGATGACCATTATTGCTGAATACTCCTTGAACAACACTCACTGTAGGCTCTGTAATAACCAGCAACCAACAACAAAAATTTATCAGCAAGGGAAATTTTTTCTTAAAGATGATGCCATTTCTTCCAAATATAAAACACAAAAGAAGTACTTTATAAAAAAATCTAGGGAAATACATTTTAAAAACAGTATCTTTTATAATCTTACAGGGAAGAAAACTCTATAGTTGTTCAACCAACTGGCACCCAGAAATAGCATTCAGAGAAAAGGATGAAGAAATCAAGAAGACATACAGAAACCATGAATATGAATCATTGTCTCAAAACAATTTGGGAATAACCCAGTCCAACCCTCTGACTCTACAGGTGAAAGTGTTCTTAGAGGTTGCCTCAATTTATGGAAACACTCAATATGTTTACAAGTTTATCCTTAAACGCTGAGCAAAGTTCTCATCTTAAGGTGGTGGGCATAAACAACAGTTGGGGGATGCTGTTACTGACTATAAATAAATAAATATGTTCACTATAGTTTCTCCATTAACAAGTATTTTTTATACTGTATTATGTGGACAGAGAGACTAAAATACATAGATCTACTATCTAGTCAACACTGGCTACACTATGTTTTATCTTTTCCCAAATGGCATTCACAGAAAGCATTCAAAATAAGTATAATTTTATATTTAATTACTCCTAATTCATAACAGATTAATATGAGAACACATCTGACATATTAAGTAAGTTTAAAATAAAAATGTTCCAATTCTGCTAAAAGCATTATGTTAATATCATGGATACAGCCAGGAAATGGGGCCACCTGTTTAGTCTACTTGGGCCATTTGTTTTGACTTACCTGCTGTACTAACTAATAGGATACATATGCTCCTCCACATGTATGCAAAATATTTGCCATGGTTACAAAACAAAAGATGATGACCATGTGGAAGACAAGGGAGATGATTTTTAATTTGCTAAATGTTGTTTTCCTGAAAAATTATTTCACATCAATTAAAACGATCTCTGTAAAACACAGTTGCATACAAAATACGGGCTTACTTAGAACTGTTCAGACACAGTCTTGGGCCAAGGTTCTTTATATAGGTAGAGGACTCACCAACTTCATAGACGTTTCGGTTGGCTGAAGTGGAGTTATTGATCTCTGCGTAGGGGGAGTCTCTCCGAGCCGGTGACTTCATCTCTACATAACCACACTCAGAGCTTTTAGGCAAGAGTGCAGGTGGGTCTTTAATCGTGGCGTATGGGTTTTCAGAGCTGCTTAGGGAGCAGTTACTGGAATTATATTCAGAGTTCTTTCCAAGATCTGAGAAAAGAAATGAAAGGGAAGGAATAAGTGCGGTTCACAGGCAACATCATTTCTTGGTGATAATTTCCTTGGGCAGATTATTCTCTTTCTTTATGGGTAGGTTTCTCTAATGGCATTTGCTGAAAGCAATGTGCACTTTCTACTTATTCTGAAGACAATTTGCTATAGAATTGCCCATCTATAAAGTAATTTTAGCTCCCCTCTAAGGGGACTGCCAAGAAAAATCCATGGGTCTGATTTCATTTTGATGATCACATTCAAATACAATTAATTATGTCCTGATACTATGAGAAGATTTACTAATTAAAGCTTTTAAATCAGTAAACCAGGAATTGGTAGCCCCAGACACAGGGTGTTTCTAGTATCATAGAAAGAGGGGCATTTGTGTTGTGGAAACCCTTTGTAACACTTTGGTACTAGATAGCTTATTTCTCAAAGTCACTGTGAAGGGCCGGTGTTAATCACCGATCCCTTCTTATTTCCAACTGTTTCCCAAACACCATTTCATTTCAAGAAAATATGAGTATTCCCTCAGAAAACTGGAACGTTTGTCCCCCCTAAAACTGACCATCCTATAGTATTCTCTCTATGTCCATCAAACATGTTGGTGTCTTAGTACAGTGACTTATCACATTGAAAAGTCTAGGTCATCATGGTAATTCTGCATCTGCTTGTTTTAAATATATATTTCAGTCTTGGAGATACTTCTTCAAGTTTACACCATACCTTTTAAGGACTTTCCCATGTAACTTCTGTCAAGTCCGAAAGCGCCTGTGATGAAGAAGGAAAGGCCAGCTCATGAGGACTGAATGTAAAAGGAAACATGCCCCACATCTCAAATCGCAGCAGATGGTTGGTCCAAAGTGAGCCACCATGGCTCTGCTCCAGCATCTTTAAACCACATCAATCATGCCAGGGGCTGGACCCAAGGGTGCAGTATGCATGGACACACTCATCTCATCATTCCCCTGCTTGTTTGCATGACTTGGAAAAGGCTGATGAACTTATATGGGAACAGACAGACAAGCAGAGACGAACAGCAAACTGAATCAAGGCTGGATAAGAGGAAGGGTGTTGTCAAGACTGGGCCTGACAGTTCACTGTCTAACAGCTCCTTCAAGGGTCTGATGGTTTTCACAGAGTTTTCTCAGTAACTAGTGTTCAGTTATAGCACAATCTCCACTATAAGTGTGTTGGCTTAGCAGTTTATCAGTCAATGCTGGAACTTGACCATTTTTATTAACTTTTATCTGAAACTGATGACTTTCCCAGTTTTTTGGGGGGGGAGGAGAGGCATTTGTAGATGAGTCTACCTAGATTTGTTTTCAAATATCTGAACTTCATTGAGGTGGGTATTGGTTTGGAATGCGTCGCCCTGCTCACACTGGGAAAAATGAAATCTGTTGGCGGTGAAAACATGCTAACACCAAAAACAACAAAGCTGTAAGCACCTTCGATAGAACAGCAGTCTGTAATCACCAACCCACAGCACTCACATTCCTGAGGAGACAAGAAGTCCCCTCTAGTTCGTTTTAAAGCCACCTCATATAGAAGCCACATTGCAGATCTAGTGCTGAACAAGGAAATAAAGATCGCATGTAGCCATCAGGGAAAAGAGAAAAAGGCAGCACACAGGAATCAAAGCACTTAGCTCCCGTCACTCCCTAGGTGCCTAACTTTAGGGCTTAGCTCCAAGTGTCAGTTTTGTCTTCTCCTTCACTCCATCCGTATGTAGCCACTCTCACTATTAAGTGAAATCGAACACACACACACACACACAAAACACACACACACACACACATACAAACACACACGCCTTACAGACTTTGAAGCACCATAGAAATGAATGGAGCTTCAATGACTGTACCACTTAAGTTGTCATAACACCATCAGCGTTGGTCCTTCTGTAAGCATTGAAGGAAATTTTCATTTTAATCTTTCAAAGCAGTGTTGAGTTAAAAGCAGAGGGTGGTGATGTGGGGGGAGGGAGAGAGAAAGGGGGAAGGAAGAGAGTGGAATGGAGGGAGAGCAAGAGTAGGGGAGCATTCCTCCATAGCTGCTGCCTCAGGCTCCTGCCCTGACTTCTGTAAGGGATTGTGTCCTAGAAGTGTAAGATGAAATAAACCCTTTCCTCCTCTAAACTGTTTTTGGCTAAAGGTTTTTAATCATAGCAACAGAATGAAGCCGACACAAAGGCAGAGAATCCATGCTCATTACTGGGTCACTATCTTCTTTAGGCTAATGAGCAAACCATGCCAGGTTCTGGGTGGTGTATCTGGGACCCAGCACCCACAATTCCTGATCAGGTCCTCAACATTAAAATGATTTCCTAGTAGAATGGTACTATGTGCCTGCCATTTTAATTCTCTTTCAGGTGTACAGTGGGGTTTCCTTGAAGCTATACAGCATGAGCTCCACAACTGACTGACAGACCGAAAGGCAGATGTGAGAATTTGGTTATTTGCTCTTAAGCCAGACAGGAAATAAAGCTGTAAGGCAGAGTCATTCTTCTCATTAATCTGCAGGGATGGGGGTAGGGAGAGAAGAATGTAGTTTTATAATATACTCAGTGTTGTGAAATGAGGTTCTTACTGTAAATTAGCTGAAATTGTAACTATTTTTAAGCTTCTTAATTTGCAATATGGTAACTATCAAGTAGACACAGTCCACATCAGCAGGGACCCTTTGGGGTATCCAATAATATTTAAGACTATAAATCCATCCTGATTGCAAAAGGCTTGAAGGACCACTAATCTCATGACTGTTTCCACACACGAAAAAAGGGAGAGATGTTGAACGTGGCATTCAATAGTAAGAGAGAACAAAGAGGATCCTACATCATGGCAAAGGCTGACAAGATTCAAAGACCAGCTCTAACAGGTTTTTAACACATGCTACTGGGTCTTATGGGGGTCACTGCAGCTTTTAAGGACTCATTTGTTCAACTGTCACATGGAGCTGAGGACTGACTACCTATCAGAGTTCTGGTGAGAACTGAGTTAATGTTGACGAAGCAGCTAGTAGGCAGAGATGTCTGGCTGTCAATTCTGGAGCAAGGTAATAACTCAATATGTGTGTTCATTGAACAAATAAGACATTAAGGGTAATTAGTAAGCCTTATAGAGGTGTTACACATAGTTCTATTATTTGGATTGGGTGCGTGTTTCTGGTGGATGGTTACAGCGTTCGCACAGCAGAATGAGTGCTTAGACTGTCCAGAATGCGCATGCGCTTGTGGGCCTCACCAAGTTCATTGAGGTAGCCACCCTGCTTCCAGTCGGCTGGCAGTGTCCCGGTGCAGTCCACCAAGGTACTTCGCTTCCCAGGATTCACGTTTTTAAGATTCACAAAGAGCTGATTGTTTTTCGACTATGAAAAGAAAAACAAGATTTAAGAGGAGACCACACGGGGGGGGGGAGCAATTTCAGGGTTGATGGCTATAGGCCCTCCCCTCAAGCGAGCGGAGGTGAGAAAGAGGTGAAGTGACCCAGTTCCCATGACATGAAGGGCTTCATTTCACACTGCCACCTTTTACCAACTAGACTTCATTCGGGTTATAAGCAAAGAGTTTTAAATTGAAGAAAGGAATTGCGGGTCTAGGTTCTATCAAAGTCTCCAAGATGCTATGGGTCCCCAGATGCCTTGACCATGCTGGTAGGCATAAACATGAGTATGGGACCTGTACCAGATGCGTGGGGATTCTGAACACGGTATCTGGGCAACCGTGCATCGCTATCTGTCTCTCAGGTGCCACTGTGAAAAACCAGCAGTGTCAATAACAACATGGCATTAAATTAACTAACTTTGGTCCCCCTCTTTTGCTCCATTCCTTCTTTCCCTAACAGAGAGCTGGACAGTGGTGAGCCAGATGATGGAGACTGGGGACAGAGAGAAGGTGAGTTTGGAACTCAGAGCATCCTGAGACAGGCACAGAAATACAGGTGGTCAGAAAAGATAAACTTGGTGATTTCACAATAGGAATTTAAGTTTTTATTAGACATGGTTTTCAGCTCATGTAAAATTAGCAACACAGTGAGGACTATTGACAGGGAGACCTTAATGCCCACAGCAGCAGTGGGAGAGGCTGAAGCCATTATCACTTAGCCCCTGGTGAGGTCCCTGGAGATGCTTAGACACACTCGGAAGATAGTTTAAGAGGAAGCAAGGGTGCAAGGAGCAGCAGTGGTGAGCTGCAGCCCCTAGTGGATGTGTGCTCCGTGTCTCTCTCCCCTTCCCACCGTCTCACCTTGGCAATGGTCATCCTGTCCCTGTTATTGACATGAGGGGATGTGGCACATTGGCTAAGTGTGTGGTAACTGGGATTGGTGAAGTAGTGGCTGTTGGCATTTCCACTATTGCTGTGAGGCAGGGTTTCTGCAAAAAGAGAGGAAACAGTTAGATCAAGATGATAGCACACATGTTTTCCCTCTCCTACTCAGCCTACTCCTCAAAGCCCCCAGAAGAGCAGACACCAGCTACTGCCTCTTTGGAAATTGTGAATGTATCCACGGAAGACTGCTCTTAGCTTTGGGGCCTGTAATAACAGAGACAGCATCCCTTGAAACTACAGCAGCTATGCCCATCTGCCTCTTTAAAAGCACTTGATTTCTTGACAAAATAATTCTGCACTGAAAAATACTCTTCTGTAAATTGCCTATTTTGCATATTCTCCCAGAATCATAATATTTATAAGCATATAGCTAGGGTCCTTCAGTAATTGCTCAAGACTGAGTAAGATTTTCAGTTTCCTCGGTATAAGAGTTTGCTTCCTTTTAAGGTTGAATGGATTCAAGAGTTTTATAATGGACTGCATGCACAGTAACTTGTCTCCTGTGTAACTACAGTTACTGGGAGTGCAGGCACAGAGACGGAAGATGCCAGCTGAAGCGCACACACCAGAGATTGCACCGTCTCTCCTTTTCTCCTCCCCACTCATATGTGAGAGAATTTGGGATTGGCTGTCCAGCAGATTCTATTCACAAATGCAATTGCCTAAATATAAAGCAACCATTCATTAACCCAATTTAAAAATCCTCACAGAAGGGCTAGCAAGGTGGCTCAGTGGTTAAGAGTGCTTGCTGCTCTTCCAGAGGACCCAGGTTCAATTCCAAGATTCCAAGTACCCATGTTGGGCAGCTCACAACCATCTGTAAGTCCAGCTGCCCTGGAAATCTGACTGTTTCTTATGACTTCCACAGGTACCTGAATCTGCACTCTGCATAAGCAACACACACACACACGCGCACGCTAAATTTTTTCAAAAGCCTCTGGAAAAACTAAAAGTGATAATTTTACTACTGCTGAGTTGTAGAGCACACCTCTGGGCACATGTACCTCTCCCGAATGTGTGGTCACCTTATGAAAAGCTGCCAGACACATGGACACACGCCAAACACCAAATCCCTAAGAAGCAGGTGAAGCCTAGATTTTCAAGGAAGCACATGCCCCCCTGCACTGCGGCCCTACCTGCAATGGTGTAGTCTGCATTGATGACCCTCATGGCGGGGGTGTAGGTCACCGCAGGCATGCTTGATTCCTTCCTCTTCTGCTTGTGTCTATAGATAATGAACAGCGCCAGCAGGAAGAGCACAACAAGGACAAGGATGATGATGCCAGCAATGGCGCCGATCTGATAGGAATCAGCGGGCAGGGCGGTGCTGGTCCGACTTAAGCTGTTCAGGTTGCCCACGATGATGACACCCGCTAGCAGAGGGTGGAAACAGGCCAAGTGTGAATGGCTATGGACCACGTAGAGGTTTGATCTCAATTTAAAACAAGACAACACATAAACACTCCCTATTGGCCGGAGTGTTTTCACTCCACGAAACACTAATTTGGAAACAGAGAAGGGGAAAACACAGACATTCTTCAGATGTTGTTGGTGCCTCTGTTCCCGATTCTAAGCTCCCAAGAGACAGGATATGAACCCTGAGATTCAGGAGTGGGGTTAAAAGTGCTCATATATTTCAGACTAAACACAGACTGGCAATTAAGTTTGGATAGTGATTTATCTAGTTTTTGTTTTGCCTTATGTATTATCTAGTACTGATGTTACACAGGAATAAATCCCAAATGCCCACCTGTCTAACCCAATCTTTCACTTATCATTAGTATTTTTAAGAGTGGTTTGCCTTCTCAACAAACACAGTTCTGGTATAAACCTGGCCCTATGAACTTCTTACTGCTGGAGATACTGTCCACTGAACAACTATTTCAAATAGCAGAAAGATTTCTCATGATAGCGCCTGGTAACGACACCTGGACCTTTAGTGATTAGACTCAAAATTCCTGGTGGAAGTCAGGCTCAGAACCACCAGAGGAACACCCTTAGAAGGCCCTCCTTGCCCCAGAGAGCCAGAACTGCCCAAGTGCCTCCATGAGAAATAGATTTGGCAAATAATTCCAGATGATTTACGACACATACCCCAGTCAAAGCAACACAGGCACACGTTTATTTACAAGTTAAGTAAAATCCTGCTTTCCAATTCAGTCACTCTCTTCCCAAGTGTTTAACCCAAGAGAAATGAAAGTGTGTGCCTTCAAAGACTGGTGCTCACTGTTCACAGTAGCCTTAGTGCTAGCCAAACACTGGAAACCATCCGGACGTCCACGAGTTGTGGTGTATCTATTCAATGGACTACTGGACAGCAACAAAAGACCTGGACTATTGATTTGCTTAAAAACACACTTTTAATTTCCAAATATTTATGGTGACTAAACAAAACCAGGTATTAAAAGAGCATGATGCGATTCTTTTCACATGGGATTGTGGGGAAGACGTAAATAGCAACAGAAATATCTGTGATGGCCTCCCAGCTAGTGAAGAGCAGCAGAGAAGGGCATGAGAACACAGGCTTGTGGGCATTATCTCGTTTGTGGTGGTTACTTCAGGGATATATACAGACGTCAGAAAACTGGAGTTAAATGTGTGCGGTTTTCTATGGTGGTTATGCCTAAATAAATCTAAAACAAACAAAAAAACCCTCAGAAAGTTCATGAATTTTAGAGTAAGGAAAGCATGGTATCAAAACTAGACATTCTAAGCACCAGCTAGGTGACCCTGGGGACACTGTCTAACGTCTGTAACTTTGAGCCAGTTTTCTTACCTATTAAAAACAGAAAAATTAAAACATCCACCCAGCAACATAATAAGCTAGGCAGCATGAGTTTCAGTGAGGCATACCCAAGATAAAACACATGAAAGTACTTAATACCGGGTATACACAATGGCCGCACATGGAGTCAATCCTGCCTGTCATTTCCTAGTACTTACCTTTTTTTGTTTGTTTGTTTGTTTGTTTGTTTTTTGGTTTTTCGAGACAGGATTTCTGTGTATTGTTCTGGAGGCTGTCCTGGAACCAGCTCTTGTAGACCAGGCTGGCCTTGAACTCACAGAGATCCGCCTGCCTCTGCCTCCCGAGTGCTGAGATTAAAGGCGTGCGCCACCAACGCCTGGTCCTAGTACTTACCTTGATCGCATCGAGCCCCTTTCCATCCCGGGCTGCAGTAACAGGTGCCGGTGATGTGGTCACAAGTGGAGTTGTTCAGACAGTCACAAATCTGGCGACAGCCATAGCCGTACGTTCCCGCGGGGCATTCTGAAGAGGAAATGAAGCCACTATAATTTCCAAGTCTCGGGGGCCCAGACCGAGGCTGTCTTCCTCGGTGTGCCCTGTATATCAGGTGATGAGCCCTGTCCATGGTTTCCTGCTTAGACAAACTGTGTCGCCTGAGGTGTGGGAAGCTCGACGGTGGTCCTGGAGCAATGGTAGGGCTCACATGTTGACTGAACCAGTCAACATGGCTCAGCTCCTAACACATTAACCTGCTGGGTGCCCATGCTCCGATGCATGTTTAGGGGGTGTGTGGGACCCTCATGGACCCATGGAAACATGAAAAATAAATTGATGGGACTCCCACAGTCAGATCTGTGGGTTAAAGGGAACTGGATTGAGCAGCGCAAACTAGTTATGTAGGCTCTGGAATCTCTCTTGAAGACATGTTCTCACTTGTTAGCAGCAGTTTGGGTTATATTCTAGGTAAGACTTTCACTTGACATAGGATGAACCAGTATAGTCTCAGAGACTAACGCAGTATGACTCTTACGATATGCTGTCATTTAAAACAGTATAGGGGGATGGAATTTAAATCTGGAAATCTTCAATGCAGAGTCTGTTTGCAAAGTGGACAGCAGGGGGCGATGTGTCATCGCTACCAGGTCTGACAACCAGGACTCCCGTTTTTAAGGAGCATTGGGAGCAAGCTTCAAAAACGCGGACATTTTAATCACTTTAACACCATGTTCAGAGAAATCATGGGAGAACTGAAGAGTATTTTCTTAATAAGACCTTAACTGGCTGCCTGGCATTTGCATGTAAGTCCGTTTAGAGCCTGTACTGCTTTCTAGGCCTAGGTTTAGCAGGCAGATAGCACTTTAACACACAGGGATTGCTACACATGAGACTAGCTGTGACTCGTATCTGTTTTAGGATCACCTGGAACAGTGATGCAAGGCTACCGTTGTGCCGCCTTTGTCTTGAACCAGCTCTGGGTGGCTCCTGCTGTACTTTCAGGAGGGGCGTTCGGCACAGACATACCATGCATTGACACTTAAGGTTGAGACCTCTGAGCTGCACTGGGGCTGTAAAGTCGCGATGGAGAGGAGGAATGCCAGTTCTACCCACCTGTCCCTGCCGTACCATCTCTAGACTGAGTCGTCTTTGGAGCTACCTTCCCCAGAATGCACACACTGGTCAGGCGAGCTCTCATTTGGCCCTGCCTCAGGGCTTCTAGCCTCAGAGAGTGTGTGCTACACACAGCTTTGACCTTTATTGTTTCCTCTTCAGTACTGGACAAAAGCACAGAGGAAAAGAATGGTGTGTTCTCCTTACCCACTCCATTTAAGGCTACCGGTCTTGTAACCTTGTGAGCAGAGTGAGACTAAAATAAAAAATAATGATAAAGGCAGTGTGTCCTCTGGAAGATTAAGACTCAGATGAAAATTTGTTAGTGGGAAGAGTGAAAGTCATTGTCAGAAGGGTGGCAACGTTTGCCTTGACTCCGTTCCCACATTAGTTCCTGGGACTGGCCCCAGGCCCCAGGCCCCAGCTCTTGTCCCTAACTAGTGTTCTGTCCTCGATGTAATCAGGGTTCACCACTGCCATGAGAGGGATCGCCATGTCTGTTAAACCCCCAAGCCACCATGTTCCAAAAATAAGAGAGGGAGGAAAAGACATAATGGAAAAGTTGAACTTGGCTTCATTCTTACAGTCTCTCGCCTTCCACCCGGAGTACTGGGTGGAGTCACTCAGAATTTGGAGGAGAGACAGCCAGCAAGGTTTTCTAGCCGGGAGGAGAAATCAGCTACGCTGGTAACTAACCATCACCTAAGCAACTCAAAAGAGCTGCAGTCATACTGCCGTTGCCTCTGCCACTCTGGCCCCTTGAGGCAGGTGATCCGGGGCCCACTGATGCCGCGTAGTAAACTCACTCTGCTCACAGTGCCGTCCCATGAATCCCGTGCGGCAGGTACATTGTCCTGAGATGTGGTCGCAGTCTGCTCCATTTTGACACCGGCATGTCAGTGCGCAGTCCTTGCCATAAAACCCCAGAGGGCACCCTGTGGGAGGGGGAGGACAGTGGCAGTCAGAGGGCTGCCTGCGAGAAACAAGGCTCCTGCCTGCCAGAAACAAGGCTCCTGCCTACGCGCACTTGTGGCTGAACCTGAAGGACTTTGAATACTCTTGAAGAGTTCAGGCACTCCCACGCATCTCAGCTGTCACCAGGATGCTTAGGAGGCTCAGGTCTGGGCTCCTGCAAGGAGACTGTTGTAACCCACAAGCAGGAGGCAAATGTCAGTGGAACCGTCCCGGGTGTCTTCCTACAAAGCTGCTTGGAGCCCGTGAAGGGCACCGTATTCTCTTTCATTCTTCACTCAGCTTCTAGAACCCTGGATTTGTGTTTCCCGGACCTAAGTGAGCGCTTTGTATTTAGATTATCTGTATGCTTTTACCTTTAGTACAAAATGACTCAAATTCTTCTACCAGTCCTGCCCATTGTGTTTGTTTTTAAATTAAATCGTATTTTAGAAATATGTGTGGTAAAGTGCTTCAGAGAAAAACCAACTGTGTTTCATAGGTGCTTTGGAAAGTCCTTTGGGTCTTTGCACTGCTACACAGCTTCTAAGGCCTCCACCATCAGGAGTTTGGGACAGATCACATTCTCTCTCTCTCTCTCTCTCCCTCTCCCTCCCTCCTGGCTTACATGCACCAGCAGCTGCTTGCATGACTTCTTTAGGCACAATGAGAGCGTCAGTATAGGCAGACTCCTCAGTTGTTTCCAAATACTGAACATGCCTTTTATTTTGCCATTTAAGGAGAGCTCAAATTTTCGGATGCGGGAATGAGACAGAGGTCTCAGACGCCGGCTCCTAATGACTTCCCCTGTATCCTCCATTTCTTTGACACCCACTCTGCACCAGATCTTTTTTATTCATCCTGTCAGTGGCCTAAAAATCCAAAGGTGGGCCTTCATGTGCTACAGGTGAGAATTCAGCCTTGAGGATCCCAAGTCACACAGCAGGTAAATGGTAGGCAGGGATGTGGTAAGACCAGACCCATGCAGACACCACCATGTCATGCTTTGTCCACTTAACAGCGTCCTCTGTTTAAAGTCACCCTAGTTTTAGAATTACAAATGATCTCAATGCTTTTTCCCCCCTAAGGACTTCAAACATCTTTATAGATATGCATTCTTCAGAGAAAAGCTTTCAAATTTGCCCTTGCCAATTCTGTCTTTCAAATCTTGGATCAATCGCCGTCTCTCTTCCTAGTAACTTCTAGAAGTCTTCCTCTAGCTATTGTCTGTTATATTTACAAATTAGTACTTAATAGGAATTACCTACTTTCTAATCCATCTTCTCCCTTCAACACAGCTTTCCTTTAAAGGTAAGTCACTATTGATGATAGCTGTAACAAATGCCTTTCTGGCTTGTCACTTCTCTCAGCTGAAAGCCATAGGGCATTTCTCCACAATGCGTTCATCTGGGGGATATTTGCACTTTGTATCGTATGACACTGAAAACCACACGGGGAAAACTAAAGGGCAGTATGAGATACAGTCTATTAGTAAGAACTAGAGGAATGTTTTTAAAAACATGATCCTGGGCTGACACTATCACCAATGCACAGAAATGCAGATTCATAGGTCCTGGTCCAGCCACACTGAATCAGACACCGTAGGAGGCAGGCCAGGAATTTGGAGTTGGTCGATTCCTATGGTTATACCTCATTTTCTCTGTGGGCACACAGTAACTTAAGCTGTGAGGTGTGTGTCTCACTTACTTCCTATTCCCTATCATTTGTCCTCACATTTGTACAGTCAGAAGAAATAAAGGCATTTATGCACAGAAATACAGTCTTGTAAAAAAAGGGAAAAGGGAAACCAGTTACACATTAGAAATGAATTACACCCACTGCTTACTCCACCTCAGTGTCGTCATATAAGCTAGCTGAAGGCTCGCTGGTATGTGGGGTTCTGAGATACTCAGAGAAAGGGAGCTAGCTAGAGGTCACTGAGCAGGTGACATACACTTGTGAGGAGCCCTCACTGACCTAACATGATACACACAAACAGGGAGGATATTTCCTCTGTGGGCGTGGCCCCTTGGTGACCCTCACAAGGCTCCTTACTTACTCTGAGTGCAGTAGAGCCCCGTCCAGCCAGGAGTGCATTTACATTCCCCGTCATAGGCGCTGCAAAAGGCTCCATTGTGGCAGTTGCAAGTGTGGATGCAGTTCGGACCCCAGTGGGCAGGCGGACAGGCTACAAGCAACAGCAAGTGTGGAGAGGTGAGTTGGAGTCTCAAGGTCAGCACGGAAATGAACACTCCATCCACTATCTCCTCATCTCCTCCCACGCACTAGGTTAATACCACTAATGTGGAAAATGCACGCACAGTTTAGTTGATAGGCTGAATTCTGTGATAAACCCACAAGATCATGGTGGTCGCAGTAACTACCAGCATCACTGAAGGACTTGAGGGAGCAAAGATTACTTTAAAGACTCAACTGTTGGACACATCGCGCTCGATACTGATTGTGTACCTAGCATTGTTTGTTCTAGACCCAAGGAAGAGCAAAGGACAAAAATGGGAGTCTGAACTACTCTCTGAACACTTCTGCTTTGCAAGGCAGCAAAACTACCAGTCAACTGAAGAGCAGTGGTGGGAAGAGGTGAGGGGAAAGTAACTGAGAATAAGAGAGATGAGGGCTTCTCCTAAAGCCCAGGCTCCCTGAGAGGAGGCTCTAAGTCAGGACCAGATTGCGAGGGGTTCGCCTCGTGACTCCTAGGCCATAGGTTCGGGGCTTCATTCTTCGAGTCCTGGCCTGGCCTCCAGGGTTGCCATTAGAATCCCACTTTGTGCGCCAAAGTTACCAGGTAGAAGAATCAGTTTGTCCATAGGGAATCTTAATTGGAAGACGCCAAAGACAGCATGGCTAAGTCACGAGTAGCCACCGTCAGTGGAAGAGCTGTCAGGATGCCACACCAAGAGAGGGCGAAATAATTCTGTCCCTCCCCAACCCCACACATAGCTTTGTTTATACGCCAGCTCCAAGCAAATATCTAAAGGGTGGCTACTTGCAATTTCTATCTTATTGTCTAATTGAGAATATGGAACAATACAGAAAATTAATGAACCCGAAGTAGTTTCAAGATGAAAAGTGTTTTCCCTAAACTTATGTGTCGTTTTTAACCAAGAACAGGAGAAAAATATCAGCTGACCATCACCATCCATAGGAGTGTGCGGATGGGTTTTCTAAGAGGGCTTGCTTTACAGATGAGGAACTTTGGTTCAGTTGTGGGTAATGGGATCTTCTGCAAGGTCACAGATTCCCAGTGATACTTGCTATTTGGCACATGAGCATACCTTCGCTCTAAAGGCCACAGTAAAGCTCAGGTAACAACTAAAATGTCCTCCCCCTCACCACCCTTAAGCTGCATATGGCATTCTCTACCCCCCAAAAATCCATTTCTAGTAAAAGAAAAACCCGGCTTTGTTCTCCTTCACCCAATCTCCATAATACCGTTACTTTTATATTTACTTACTTTAGCTGGGTTTATGTGTCTGCGTGAGTGTGTGTATAATATGTGTGCAGGCGTGCACACCTGTGTGTACATGCATATCAGAAGAGGGCACTGAGGGTGGTTACAAGTGTTTACGGGACATCCCCCAGCTTGTTTTGAGGGTGCTGGGATCTAAACCCTGGCCCTCACAATTCATCACCTAGTGCTTTAAACCCCAGAGTAATCTCGTGAGCCCCACGCAGGTGTCTTTCTAATGCTGGTTATAATCTTTCATGAACTGTCTTGTGCCCAGAGCATATGTTTCTAAGTTGGCCACTTGCAGCGGGCTTTACTCTCCATATCAGTTGTGATCAGAGATTGGAAATAAAGATCATTCAAGTTTTCCATCCCCAAGGGTAAATACTGAGACAAGGCTTCCGATAGTCATTTTGCTACGGACACTTGCCCCTTTAAATGCACTCCATTAGTTTTCAAAGTCTCTGTTTGCATGGTGAAGGACTTTCCTCTTTTAAATCTAGCTGTTAATCAGTCAAGAAGAAATATTAAGATGGGCCCATAGGGAATCAATGAAACCAATGGTCCCCAGGAGAAGCAAGGCTTGCCAAATAAATCAGTTTCCTCTGGAGTGATTATGGGGACAGTCCATTCTATTGTCTCCATTCACAGTGCTGTCCCCATTTTTGTTCCTTCCAGCACATTCCTCCTCCAAATGAGGAAGTGAGCAATTTCCAAAATAAAGAATACGTGTTAAAAGAGCAAATTATACCAATCATGTTCCAGTAATGACATTGCGTCTTTGTTTTAGTTTCTAAGCTCTGCCATTCACTTTGAGTACCTATTCCACAACCTGTTCCTGTGCCAGTCTGAAACAGTTAGAGGCCTGCCGTGAACAGGTTTGTGTATATGGTAATTACTTTCACCAAAGGCTTTCTTCTTATCTCAGAAATGGAGAACAACCTGAGTGACTGAAAACAAAACTATCTTTCAGACAAAAGTACATTCCTCACCAATTAATATTTACAGATTGATAACCCTATAGTCTGAATTCAATAGCCCGCAAACTACTACATAGTACCAGAGTCATTCCTTGATCTATCATATGTGCGCCATGTTGGATTCGGTATGAACTGACCACGGCTCACGTAAGCTGTAATTAAGAGTAGAAGAGCAGACATGTGCTATCCTTGGTCCAAAGCTGAATACTTTGTGAAAACACGCTAACTGAACCTTTCAAAGTCTGGTTTACAGTCACTGTCCTCTTTTCATGTCATGGATAGTCTAAAGTCATCAACATAATTCCTCTTAGGGTCATACTACGCAAATCTGAAGAGCTGAATGAGAGACACCTGGGAGCCAAGGCAGAGGGCAAGATGTGAGGGGGGCAGTAAGGTAGCCAGTCTGCCCAGGAGCCCAGAAAGCTAAGGATCCACGGATCCTTAATTAACTCTTCTGATGAATGCACGGTAAAAAGACAGATCTCTAATGTATCTACTTCTGTTGGATACTAGGGAGAGAGATGCAGTTCAGTTGGTATGGTGCTTGCCTAGCGTCCCTGAAGCCCTGGCTTTGGTTCCTAGCACTGCAAAAAATCAAATATGGCTGTGTGCACCTCTAATCCCAGCATTCAGGATGTGGAGGGAAAAAGAGAGCAAAAGTTCAAGGTCAGTTTAGACTACATAGTGAGTCTGAGGCCAGCCTTGGCTATGTGGAGCCTTGTAGCAAAAATAAAAAATAAAAATCAGTGGATGGAGAGTCACTGAGCAGTGAATAAGAAAAAAATTATGAATTCAAGTTTTTCCCAAAGAGTCACATCAATTTATTGGTAGATGTTGATAGATCATTGTACAGGGTTCCTAACTTTAAAGCTATAATACTTTTTATAGATGGTCATGGTCATGTATTCTGTCTTGATCATACAAACTCTCATCATTCAATCCTACGACATAGGAAACCAGTTGGTTGTTCTCCAACAAGACTTACGCTGAGAGCAGTCACTGCCAATCCAGCCTGGATAGCACTGACAAGACCTGTCGATGGGGTTGCAGGTGCCATTGTTGGTGCAGGTGCAAACGCCTGCACAGTTTTTCCCAAATCTGCCACTGGGACACACTGTGAATAAACGGAAGTTCAGTCTGTTAGAGTTGGGGCCATCTCACAGAGCCCTGAGAATGGGAAACAAATTCCAGGGTCACACCTGGCCACCCACTGCCTGCCTGCCTCCACTTAAGACAGCACATTCCCTAATCCCAGATGATGGGCTCATTTTTACAAACACATGAAACCAAAGGCCTTATTCTGACGCCTCAAAAGGTCACTGTGAGTGTCTGTAGAAATCTGATGTGTTTTTTCCCCCGAGGGAGTCAAAATCCTTCCTTATGTTGACTTTTCAGGAGAGGATGGTTCCCATGAAACCCTAAGACACAGCCAAGGGACCATGTGACAAGGCGGCGCTTCCAATGCTTGAATCATTTTCAGAACTACCTAGAGCTGATGGCGGGACATGTGGCCTTGGCGAAGTCTGAGAGCAGACTTCAGGAAGTTTGCTCCTTCCCACGGCTCTCCAGAGTGCTTGGGTGCTTACCTTCATTGCACAGGGCTCCCGTGAAGCCAGGCAAGCAGTCACACAGGCCTGTGATGTGGTGGCAGGGGCCGCTGCTGTGCACACACTGTGGACATGTCTGGCTACAGCGATGCCCGTAAAAACCCGGGGAGCAGACTGCAAATAGAATGGAGACTCTTAGTTACCTTTCTGAGTTGGGTTTATCTCCTGTTCCACTCAGGTCTAGTTAAAGTGGAGGAATAAGAAGACTTGAGAAAAATGATAGTGAGAGTTTTTCAGGCACAAAACAAGAGGGGCAGCTTTTATCAAGTTAAGAAGCCACTAAACTCCGGATTTCACTAGCATGAGGGAATGTCTCAGATAGATATCACTGTCCTCCTGGGGTTGACTCAAGGCCAGACCTAGACTGGAGGCTCAAAGACATTTGTTGAACAAATAAGGAAATGGGGAAAATAAAACTCTAAGTATCAATGTCTCAATTAAGTATTACCAAGTCATTTACTGGCCATTTATTCTTTAAGAACCATGATTGAAAACGAAAAACAAAAACGATGAACGCTCAAATTTCGAAGATCTTTCTCCTTCAAAAAAGTACAGGTTGACTGTTGTGATTAGAGAGAGCAAATAAACAAAACTGTATATATGGAAGCTTCCAATATTTTATTTGGATGTAAATATAGGGATGATTGCATTGAACTCTTAATGGAAAAAGGAAATTGATCTGAGAAATTACAACAGTGAATGTAATAACTTTTCTTATTTATTATGTTTTCCAAAAGATTTAGTAAAGTGTCACAGATCATTCCCTAGTTCGAGGCTTCTCTGCGTATCATCAACAGTCCCCATTTTTAACTTTCATTCTCCTTTACCCCCAGCACTAACTTTTTCGGCTTACTAGTGAGATGTGTGATTGCCTGGAGGTTTGGCTGATGTTAACTTCTGGTAATTGAGGTGAGGCTGATGCCAAATGCTGAATAAAATATTTACAGGTCAGTGGATTTCTAGAACACCATTTGCACACTCTACGGAAGAAATGAGAATTGCCCTGACGATGGTGCCCGTGAGGTAATGAAATCATCACTGAGAAGAAAGGGTTAACGCCCATCTGGCAAATTAGTCCTAGAGGTTGAAAAGAATAAAGTTCTTGGGGAAGGGTCATTTGAGGACAGTTCTTCAAGGACTGCTCTGCCCTTGACTGCCACAAAACAACGCTAGAAACTAAGGGCAGAGCCTAGATTGTTCTACATGTTAATTCCCAGGAAGAGGGGGGCAGAGAGCGTCACCTATGAGACACTTACTTCTCTGGCACGAGGTGCCTCGGAATCCGGGTGCGCACTCACAGATGCCATCGTCAGGAGAACAAGAAGCCCCATTTTTACAGTAGCAGGGCAGCGAGCAGTTAGGACCCCAGCGTCCCTCGGCGCATACACTGTCGCAGTGCACACCTGTGGCAACACACGCAGGGCAGGGCTGAGGCGGGTGCAGTGTGGGCTTCTGCGGTTGCTAACACAATCGTGAGGCTCGAGGACGGGGTAACGGCAAGTGATGCAGGCAACATTGAACAGAGGTGGTACCCGGCTTAAAATCCACACACAGGGGTGGTACCCGGCTTAAAATCCACGAACCACCGCCTGGATACATCAGTCCACAGAACCATCCTAACGTTAACGAATACCCAGAATTCCCTCCTATGCCTTCAAGGAGAGGACACTTTCGTTACATTGATTTTTCTTCTTTAGCACAAGGGAGCAACAGGAAGCCCAGGGGCTCTGTCTATTGAAAGCAAAATTTGTCAAAAAAAAAAAAAAGACTATTGATTTTCTGTTTATCCCGGCCCCTGCTCTTTGCTTTTACAGAGACATGAATAAAGTATACAATGATGAGGCAAATCATGAAATGATTAAATTATTTTACATGAAGGAAGCCTACTGGGGAGGAAACAAGGAAACACAATCCTAAAATATTTCAATCATCTATTGTGCCTGATACGCTGATGCGTTCATATGCGTCACCAACTTTGTCCCTAAAATTTCATTTCACATTGGACAGATAGAGGCAGACTATCCCAGCCAATATTGTGGATGCGCTATTGTCTAAGTCTCTCTTATGAAGTTGTGTGACACTATTTAAGTTTTTATTGGGAAATAAAGAAACCTTAAATCAGTCATGACCCAATAAGCAAACATCTATAGGATGCTGAGTCTGCAAGAAGGAAAACAAAGGCAGACATTACTGGAGGCAAAGAGGGTTTTGTAAAAACGTACAAATGCATTTGAAACACACCAGGGATCTCTTTGCTGCATCAGACCTCTCAGAACCCTTCACCTGCAAAGGAAAGAGTCCTCAGTAGGGCTGCACCGGTGACTGCTGGCTTCCCAACAAGTGAGAGCACATGAGGACATGGTCAATATGGTATTCCACAAAGTTCACCGCAACCCTGCCTGGATGATGCTGGGCAGGCCACCCCACATTTTGCCTTCTTTTTTGGAGAAAAGTTATTGTGCCCCAAACCTAACATGGAAGGCATTTTAGATGAGCATAAATATGTCACCTGCTGGTATAAAACCATTTCTGTAATAAATCTCTACTTTTGCCCATCCCCATGTCGATCCTCTAGAAGGTCCTTAACTTGGCAAAGACTGATCAACAAGGCACAGCCTCACTGTGTCCAGCTCAGGTTAGCAACAGACTTTTATACCAGAAGAAACCGGTTCTTAATATAAAACGGATGGGAGAGCTAAACTTTCCCCACAGGTAAGTTACTAAAATGTGGGCCTGCTGTTCTTTCCTGTGTCCACACAATCTGACCTCTCAAGGCCTTTTGGAAAGTTGCAACACGCCTGCAAATCCCATACTCAATGAGTATGGAGTACCCGTCATGGGTGATTTTCTTTAAGGCAATACCTGTACCACACAAAAGTTAAGGCATTCAGAGCAGCAGTAAACTTGGGGGCAGTCCGCAAATGTAAGCTTCGCTTTGTGTCTGAAGAGAATACTGTCAAGGATAACCGGCCTGGGGCTTCCCTCCCAATTGGATTTCAGGTTTTCCATCCTCGCTGTAAGCCAAGGCTCCCGTTGGACAGCCAAGGTGGTAAGGGACCACCTGCTTCATAGACTCAGATGTCCCTGGGCATTTTGAACCAGATCCATTCAGGCTAATCTCAACAAGAAGCCTGAGGAAGCAGTGCCAGAATAATTACTCAGCTAACCTTATAATCATGCTGTACATTAGTTCTGGTTTCTTAATACATTTTTTTTATGTGGAGTGAGGTTTAAAGCATGAGACTTGGCTATTTAGGGTTACTTAATTTATCAGCTATTGGTCAAATCACATTACACTTAAATTCAGCCATAATGGAATGGAATGGAATACACTTCAGGTCAAAAGCATATACTGGCTGTATTAGTCATGGTTTTCTAGGGGAATAGAACTAATAAAATGAATCCATGTGTGAGTAATCTCATGTGTGTGTATATATATATATATCACATATATACACACACATATATATACATATGTGTATGTATACATGTATGCACATGTATGGGCTTTGTTAGAGTGGCTTACAGGCTGTAGTCCAGCTAGTCTGGCAATGACTATCTACCAACACAAAATGAAGAATCCAGTATTTGTTCAGTCCACAATGGTGAATATCTCAGTATACACCTGAATCTCAAAGAAGTGGGTCTAATACCAGTGAAGGAATGAACTTGCTGGTGAGAGTGAGAGCACACAGGGACAGAGCTAGCCCTTATTTCTTCCATGTCCTTCATATAGGCAGCTACCAGAAGGTGGGACCCAGATTAAAGATCTGTCTTCTCACTTAAAATTATTTAACTAAAAAATCCCTCACAGGTATTTCAAATTGATTCCAGATGTGGTCAAGTTGACAAGCAAGAATACTCATCACACTGACTTTGGATATTATAGGCTATCATGATTACTGGATAAGCACACTTATGAATAATGACTGAAGGCCAGGTTAGCTATCTAAATTAAGTGATCCTATGCTTGGCATTTGATTTCTCTTCCCTCAAGAGATTCGTCCAGCTGGCCAGCATACCCATCTGTCATGATAAAGGTGATTTTCCAGTAAGTAAAAAGTACTATGGAATAGTCAGGAAATCCATTGAAAAAACACCAAACAAACAAAGAAACACTGTTTCACATGATTTACCCATCATTTTGTTTCAGCGACTGCCTGCCTCTGGTTATATAAACATATTTTAGCAGAACTAAGCTTGTTTTTTAAATAACTTTGGTTTCTTTAGTTTTAGTATCGTAAGGAATCTTTCTTTTTAATATAAATTATAAACATTCCATTTCCTATTCTTTCTTTGAAATTCAAGCTCTCTTCTTTTATTGCATTCAGTAAAGGAGTTATCATTTTGCACATATTAATGTCTAATCTATTTCGGAACAAGTATCAGAGATGACACAAGTCCATAAAAAAGTAGGATGTTCTCTCCCCTCTGCGGCATCCTCTATCCCACAGCCCTGCCTCTCCTCAGACCCTCTTGCCTCTTGCCATCTCTTCGTTCATCACACATTCAGGAAAGGGAGTTATAAATCTATCATCCTGGGACCTTTCTCTAGGGATTATTAATATTTCAAGAAGGCACACATTTTGAGAGTCTAAGAAATAAACACCTAACTGTAAAAAGGATCACAATGAAGTCCTACCTAAGTGTTTCTTTGAGTCACATCTTGGTATCAGGTTGGGGATGTGAGCTGAATAAGGACAGCCCTGCAGTGAGGTGTGGTCCAAGATGAAGAGGTGTTGAAAAGAGCTGTAAGCTTGCTTTAATTCTCTCTCATCTCATTATTTCTACTGATCTCATATTTGCCAACTCTGAAAGAATCCTATGAAACTTACTTCCATTTCTTTGTCTGCCAAAGATGAAAAATAATTTAAGCCAATATACCTTCTAGGAGTATATTGATGATGAGTCATTCTCCAAAAAAGACACTCTCCAAAGCTCCAGGTGATAAAGCTCAGGGACACACCCCCAGCTCTGCCCAGTGACTGAGGAAGGAGAGAAAATAGTTCTAGGTTGAGGGAGCAGTACTACAAGACTCAGAGTCCCAAGAAGCACACAGAAGTCCTTCAGAAATGACCAGAGTTGGGAACACCTGGGACTTAGGAACTAGAAGCACCATGTGAAGCGTGTGGACAGCCATGGGTTCATGGAGAATAGCTACGAGCACTATACTGTGGAGGAAGAGACTCTCCCTGCACACCACGTCATGTTAGCAGAGCCCCAGTGAGGGATGGCATAAGATAAATTCATGTTTTATAGGATAGTGGATGAAGGTGTAAAGAGATGAGTCTTGAAGACAAAAAGTCAGAAGACAAGCTGAGGCAACCTTAGGGGAAGAAGAATTCTAGAGATCAGTGGAGAACATGCAGGTGAAAAGTTCCTCTGTCCCTTACCTTACCCCAAACACCACATTCTGCCAGATGAGAGAGCAAGAGAGCCTGGCTGGACTGTCTGGGACCTGACACACACTGAGTGTAATGATTGACCCTGGGTGCCAATGTGCCTAGACAAAGAGAGGTGACACCTCATTGTGTCAAGAGAGGTGATGCTTCAGTGTGTCTGTGGGGGTATTTGCAGAGAGGACAGTGAGTAGTGGAAGAACACTTGTCCTGAATGTGGGGGCCCAGAGGGATAGAAGCTAGAGCAGGAAGAAGCCAACACATAGGTCCACATGTGTGGGGACTGAGAACTGTTACCTCCAACTAAAGAGAAATAGAAAAATAATGAAATAATTTCTGAGACAATTTCTTTGAAATATCCACCAAGGAACAGATCAAAACTTCAAAAGTAGTTGTTTCTAGAAATGATTACTAAAGTATTTGGAAAAGGGGGCAAACGGGAAGAGGGCAGGTTTCTATTTGCAGGCGTTTTTGCTCAATGGAAGCACTTCTTCCCGATAAATTTTCCAACGCTGATAAGGAGATCTGCGAGAGACTGTTTTTGCCAGGACTGGGAACAAAGAGCCCATTGATAGCCTTCTCAAGTTGCTAGGCAATGGCTGAATGACCGTGATAAACTTCAGCTAAGCAGCACTAAAGAAATGTTCGTGCATTTAATGCCTGATGCATTAAGCCAGGGGCCTCAATGTGAAACCGCCATTCAGTGGGCATTTGTGATTGCATGAATGTAGAAAATAAATCATCTAGGATGTCATTATTTCCTCTCTCAAAGATGTAGCCCAAAACCTCATTTCATTTATACTCAGCATGACAATATTGCAATATTAGGGATGTTGGAAAATAAAGAAAATTATTTTGATTCAATGTCTTGACCTTGGGCAGCAATCTATTAAATACATGTTAGGGTAAAAAGTGAGTTATTTGTTAATGATAACTGGGGTAGGTGATTGTAGAAGAACCATGATGACTAGTCATAAATTTGCTAGTTTCCTCATCTCTAGCAT